AATTATCGATATTCCGGCGCCTCTGCTCGAAAGCAAACCATATTTGGAAAGCTGAATGTCTAAGTTTTCAAACGAATGTAAGCATTAAAAATTTAGTGTTCAAATCTTTGCGAAATTCATGCACATTTAAATCGAGGATTACGTTTTTTTATGCATACAATTTTTGAGTAAAATTGCCCCATCAGTTAAGTGGAATCTTCCGGCCTAAAAATGATGGGGGGGGTGAAGCCCAGCGCCCTCTCCAAGCTCAACTGATAGATTTGCAAATTTTAAACATAATTTTTCATAGGTTTGTTACAGTGTTGTGGATCGTATCTTGGAAGGAAGTGATCTGTGTGGTTATCTCACTCAGGCTGTTGATGTAATCCTCTGCCTTGATATATCAGTGTTGCAGGTCAGTATGGTTTTAATATGCCCATAAAATAACACACTCCTTCAAGGCTTTACGTCACTTTATTTATACCCGGAAAATGTAAAGCATTCAGATAATCGATGAACGGATAGGAAAAACCATAGATATCTTATATACACTAGATAGTGCATCTAATTATTCTGCAATTCAAAAAGAGAAGATTCGTATGTTTTGTATTTCTTAAACAGGGAACTTATACATCAAGTTAACCCTACTCCAAATACGTTTTTAAACTATTTAAATGATGAAAGTTATTGTTGTTTTTAAGCGTTTATTAGCAAGTGGGAACGACCAACATGGCCGCCATCTATTCAAATGGGGATAACCGCTGGAATATTCTTGGCTTCAATTTTACTAAGAGATGCGCTATCTAGTGTATATAAGATATCTATGGGAAAAACTCTGTATAGGAAACTCATTATCACGCATCATGTTTTCAGCGTGCTGCATGATGGCGTCTCAATCGTGTGGAAAATTATGACATCACTAGATCCAAAATAATTACACGTTTAGCAATAATACAGATGAGCATTTTACTGATTTTCGTCATTTCAGGGAGCATATCAAGCATTAAATAAAAAACCTGAAAACAAAGACAAACAACATTCACTGAACATCGAATACTTTGTTGTGGCACATCTAGGTTCAAAAGTGAATGAAACCATTTTGAATGTCAATATAGCTACTTGAAAGCGAAAAATATGGGAAAATAGAAGAGAAACACAGTAAAATATAATAAACACAGTACTATTATTCGTTTTACTGTACTGTATTCGCGACATCATGAATTTCAAATAGGTCATGTCCGCTGACGTCAGCTGTCCTCTACAGTCATTATTTAAACTACCCATGGTACCGCAAACACGACGCCAGAAGCATGTTATATATCGCTAAGGCAGCCAACACGACAAAAGACACCTGTGTATGACTCTTCGCCAGCAAGCCGGGTCTGGGAAAGTTACCTCAAGTACACTTTACGGAGATTATTTCAGCCTAATGTACAGTACAAAGAACATCTTTTGACCGAATGTCATACTCTTGCTGCATATTATGTACTGCAATTTTAAATTTTGTGAATCAAAAATAGGAGAGGGCCGCCCAGATTAAGCCCTTGTTGAACACCACATGTAATATAATCTAATTCCCAATGAGGATCTGGTGGTCAACCCCGTTAATAAGGTCAGAGTTGATGTTAACTAACCATGAGTTGATTGTATAAAGTAAAAGGTTGAACTCGAATATCTTCCCTAAATTCAGATTAAAATGTAGTAACAATATGGTTTTCTCTCAGCAATTAGGTGACCACAGACCAATTTCTCAAATATTTTTGCAGTGACCGGTGAAACCGTTATTGGACAATGCTGTAATTTCCACACTCTTGTTTATCCCCAGTTTGAATCACAGATCCATCTCCGCACCAAGCAGTCCAAGAATGATAACAGATACAGCAGGGACATTAAACGATTCAGCACTTGCCCTATGCCACCTGAGTGGAAGGGCCTGAGTGAAAGTATTTTAAAGCTCTTCTGCTTACCAATAAGTCAACTTCGCTGAAGTGTATGTCCACACTATCAAACTGTACTGGATTGACACAATCTGCCAATGTTGTTGTTGTTGTTGTTGTTGTTGTTGTTGTTGTTGTTGTTGTTGTTGTTGTTGTTGTTGTTGTTGTTGTTGTTGTTGTTGTTGTTGTTGTGCCAATTTTTGCCAGCAGAGTTAAGACTATGAACGATAAAGGAAAGCTGTGTATCGTATCATTTGATGAAATTTCTGTGAAGTCACATCTGTTCTATCAATGGAATACAGATGAGTTAATTGGGCTGGTGACGGGACCAAAACTAATTGCATGGCAACATCTGCAATCATTTTTATGGCCCGTGGTGTGATAGAAAACTGGAAACAACTTCTGGCATATTATCTCGTAAACGAATCATGTATCAGTCAAAACGTTAAAGAGAAGTTGGTGGAGATTATAGATCAAGTGGAGAGTATACGAGTGCAGCTTGTAGCTGTTGTTTCGGATGTTGGGTTTAACATGCCTATGACACTTGATAATCCGTAGATTCTGCTGCAACGCACATCATTGGTGGAGTGATGAACAATCTAATTAACTGTGGTTTATCATTTTGATGGGAAAGTTGCATCCTGGAGAAACACTGAAGATCTATATACATGGGATTGACTAAAAAACACCATTCTATGTTGTCCAAAATTGATTGACCAATAATCATATACCCAAATGGCTTCCAAAAGATGAAGGTTAAATTTGGTACCCAGGTTTTGAACCATTCAGTTTCAGCAGCCATGTTGATAGCAGTGGACGGTGGTCCCCTTCCTTGATCTGCAGTAGGGACAACGGACTTCCTTGATCTGCAGTAGGGACAACGGAACTAATATCAACAGCTCATCTTTTAAAAGTCAAAAGACTTACAATCAACCAATCAAATCACAGTCTCCGCACTGCAAATTTATGCGATATGTGTTCCTTTGATAAGAAGATTGAAGAAAATAATCCAGCAACTGGCAAAGATGTTACCTCCACAATGAAGTGCTCGAAGGCTTTGCAGACCACCTTAAATGGAACAGTCTTGGTGTGGAAGTCAATACAGAGTACAACAAAGTTTTTTATGCACGAGACGCTTTAACGAAGATCTATTAGAGAACATGTTGGTTGTGTCAGACAAGGAGGTGGTAATAGTGATATTACAGCGTTTAGGAAGCTCTTGTGTGATAACTACTTGTCACCATCAGTTGTTCAGCTGATCTTGATGCTATACTTGTTTGGTAAAAGGCCACAACGGAGAAAAAAAAACACCAAAAAAAAGTTGGGTTCCAAAAAAACACATTTGTAATTCACGAATAAATGTTTATTTATGGCCAAAATATGTAAAATGTTTTTAGCACTCAGACATTTTTTATACATAATAAGAAGATATAAGGTAAATATCCTGTTTAATAATTCTAGTAATGCCATTTTTTACCTTTTTTCCATTTCACGAAATGTATTGGTGTGTATTGTAAATAACTGACAATGATGAACTTGACAATATTGATTTCATAGAATTTAACTGAACCTATCAATATAAATATCCCCACTCTTTGCTCACTCGCTGACCGCTTTGATACAACTGTATGCACATTACTCGTCTCGGGTGTTTCTACACCGACCGCTTTGATACAACTGTATGGAGATTATGTATGGATATGTTTGTATTGATATATTAAATAGATACTAATCGGGCTCCCTGTGATTGGGCTTCGACCAATCCCCACATGCACGAAAACGAGGCTCTATAGCCAAGACGACGTACTTTCCGGAAGTGTGTGTATTACGGTCGAATTTCCACAGACAAAAGCCTCGACTTGGTGTTATTGTTCTTCACCGTAAAATGGTCTATTATAGAACTTATATACTTAACCTAATTTCAGCATTTTCTACCACATCAAACGTTTCGAAATGGTATATTACTATAACATCAGCAGGCCTTAAAATATCTTTTACAGGGTCGTCTGACAAAATGTCCGATGACTTTGAGTTTGGGTTGGACATATGTCCGATGACCTTCAGTTCAGTTTGGGTCGGAAATAAGTCTGAATGACGCAAATTAATATCAGCATAATGTATTCATTCTGAACTAAATGTTGTGAAGATATTAAATAATTTGTGTCATTCATACTTATTTCCAAGCCAAAATTAACTTGCTTGCCAATGATAGCAGTACAACTTCGATAACTTAAGCCCGTTTTCCACCTCACCATTTCACTCGCCGCCCCGCAACATTTTCGGTTCATTTTTATACAAACTCTGGTTCTGGACTAGGGTACATTTTGATTTACGTGCGTGAAGAAAGCGTCAGACAAAGCTACAGTTCGGTCGGACACCAATACACTCAGGTCGGACAAACAATAAACCTCAGTTTCACTTAGGTCGGACAGAATGTCCGGTGGTTTCCTCTCTACGTCGGACAATTTGATGAATGGGTCGGACAATGTCCGTGACCGACCGATATTTTAAGGCCTGGACATGATTGGCGATCTCGTACACGCAGTCATCCTAAAGATCGAATCCAAAGCTTTCTCTGGAACCTTGAAGACTTGTAGCGTTAATATAATGTACCACATGTGATGACGCGCTGGTTGTTTTATAGGAATACCTTGATGCCTTTGTTGAAGCTGTGAACAGTGAGTTTGGATGTCTGCTAGTGATGGGGAAAATTGCTGTTGCTTCAGAAAGATGGTATGTGTAGTACTTTATGTCTTCTTGTTTTAGATATCTCCAGAAGCAATGTAAGGTAGTTTTGTTTTCACCATGGTATCGCATTAACATGGATTTCTTTTGTTGAAGCCGGTTCGATTTGCAAAGTGTAGTATTGTCTGGTTTGTTTTTAATGCCTTTAGGTGAATAATACATAGTTTATGCGTCAACTATTAAGACGGGTGGAACGTTTGACGGGTGGAACATTAAGATAAGTTAAGAGAAGTGCATGAAATTTTATTTTATTTTATTTTATTTTATTTTATGAAAAGTGCATGAAATTTACCCTTAAGAGCAACAACGTGGGTTGTAGTGTGTATTTTATTTACAAGATAGATTCAAGTTTGGAAAAGTAGTAAGTATACAGACTAATTGTACATTCAACGATATGAACAGGAAGATTCTGTCAAAAGTAACTAATCCGGTTAGAAAATCAGTTGTTGCAGAAATGTAGAGAATTTTTTTTTGTTTGTTTGTACTAGTGTGAGCATAGACAATCCTGAAGACAATTGTCTTCTGGATTGTCGTCTGGTGTGAGAAACTGAATTTATCAAGATCGCATTGTAAATATTTGAGAAAGAAAAAAGGTTCTTTACTTCCAACCAATAATATTGGAAACAATTTTATGGAGTTTCCTGGAACGTTCAGGATTAAGATACTGATAGATCAAGTCTTGAAGAACGAATGTAGTTGCTTGTCTCTCAATAAGCTCCAGGAAAACAAGATTGTGTCAAGGAGCCTTGCCGAAGCCTATATCTCTCAATTATAGGACGTATATACCAACCTCCGGGGACGAATTTTCTCTCTGTATTTCGTTTCACAAGATTGATGAATTGACTTGTTAGATCGGGTTGGACTATTTGCAAGTAATATATGTTTTTGTGATTAAAAGAGAATGATTTTTATTGCTCTCTCTTCTAGGTGGGAACTAAGCAGTACAGAGTTGGTTTTACTATCGCTTGTGATACATTCTCAACCCGAGTGTTCGTCCAGAGATATTCCAATTTTCCTGCCACAAGGCAGCCCAAAAGTAAGCACGATGTTTATAAATCATCTATATTACTTTGTGTGCAGTGAAGAGTAGAACGAAGTTGATTTTAACCCGTGCAAATAGTGGTGTTTTTATTTTAGTTCAACCAGAGGTTTTAAACAGGATGTTTTGTAATAATTATACAGATGATCCACATACAGTATGCCCATGCATGGGAGCTTTCCAAAGTTGTGCTTACGACAAAACAATTACATAGTTTTAATATGTAGATTTATATAGATAATTTAGATTCTTGCAATCCTAGTTCTTATAAGCTTGAAACCTTATTTATCCAAGTGTGTTCAAACACCGCAAACCTATTACAGTAATTTTAAGCTGCTTTTTCTATAATATGATATGATGTTCTATACATATATTTTCTGGGGTTTTTCTTATACACTTATTTACAGTTTCTTCGTCAATTCCCAACTGGGCAATTCCAGGCAATTACTGGAAATTGTGTAAATCAGGGCTGTCGCGAAGAGGCTAAACCAGGGGGGGGGGGGGTATAGTATCGCATTCGCCGACAACATTTCAGCCGCTAATTAATATTGCTAACTAATCAATGTCGCTCAAATATTGTAGTTCCTTTCCTTCCTATCCAATTCAGGTTTTGCCGACAACCAAAACAATTTCCCGACAGATACGTCATTTTTGCCGATAAGATGTTTTCAGGGGGTGTCACACCCCCACACCCCTAGCAACCGCCCTGATTGTGTTTGGTTAATTGACATTCACTTTGTTTACGTTTTCGCGTGAATCGCCATTTTCCTGTACTATGTATAATTCAAAGCGTTTATGTTGCATTCGGAAAATGGTAGTATACGATGATGTATTTAATAAGTCTATGACATTTTCTAATTACATGGTTGTATTTTCTAAATTTAGGTTGCTCATAGGCTTGTCACTTTTCAGGTGAGCTTACGTATATTGACTATCAACATTTGGTTTCAGCTCGCTTCTTTTGAAAATAAAGGACGTTTATGAGTCAAATAGAACAAATACACTTCATCGTGCATGTTCTTGTTGAAGTTGTATAGGACTACTTACTAGAAAAAAACCGCGCTTTGAGTTGGACACGCCAACCGCATTTAAGGAAGGGAAATCAGGGCATGGTACTCGCGTTAAGGATAACTTGTGCGTTCTCCCTGATTATAATAATTTCCGTTAGATTCTTGAAGGTGTGGAGGTTTGTGTGATATGTGGTCCAAATCCAAGTTTACAAGAAATTGAACAGAAGGTAATTCAAAATTATACAATTAATTACATATCCCTAATTGTCTATCTCTCTTATGATTACCTGCACTTAAATTATTGAGTATTTCACACAGTTATCTTTAAAGAAGTTAATAATACACGTGAAAACATTTCAAACAGTACACTTACTGCAGTGCAATTAACAACAAAAGAGTGTATAGAGTCCGGAAAAGGGACAAGAAAAATTAACATGATAACAAAGGACAGATATTGGCAATGTAAACTGTCACTTTCTGAACGGCACTTTCTGAACGGATTTTTGACTGAAAAATAAGTACAATGTTTGTAAATTGAAGTAAAATGGTTTACTGACAAGCGATAAAAACAAGTGTAAGAAATAGAAAAGCAATCGCGTGCTCTTATGGTGTTATGATGCAGGAGGGGAACGTTGGGAGATTACGAGCAACACGTGTATCGTATCTTTTTCAAATTACACTCGAAGCCATCGTGTTACCTGTATGTAAAGCAAATGTACTTCGAGTAACGCAGAATAACTTGAAATATTTTTCAACTCATCAGGCAATGAGTATGAAAGCCAAGCTCCAATATAACGAGAAATGAACTACATAACTAAAAATTGACATATAGATCTAGATAGTCATAACAAATGGTTCTCTGTTATTTTAGCTTGTATTCAATTACTGGAATCCTGCAATGGACACGGTAAAACAATGCTTGCGCTCTCATCCCAGAAATTTGACACCCAATATGTCATTGGATAATGGAATACTAGGGTATGACAACAAAAACGTGTCTATTACGCGAAGCTGGTATGAAATAGAGAATAATTATGGCTAAACGTAACGCTGGCATTTTAATTGAGGCACTGTAAATTGGAAGCACCGTTCTCAATGTGACGAAATTATAATGATTCACGCATATTGACGACATGGAACGCCGATCCTATAGAGATGAAGATGGACGCACTAAATTACTACACTGCCACCAACATTCTGTAATCTGTTGTTCTGGATCTGGACAAATAATATTTGAAACGAAACCCTTATCGTAGATTCTTCATTATACCCTCTGGAGGAAGCCTATTCTTTTCAGGGACGTTTTAAGAGGGGGTTATGTCATTCAACTGAACCTCAGAAGTAGGAAACGTGGAATCGTGAACTTCTAGGACAATTAATAAGCCTAAAGTTGAACAGTATATCTGTTTGTTTCTTGTGAAGGAAGGCGGGATTAATAGGGAGGGCGCGTGGGCGTTACGGGGAGGGGCTTATTGCATGTGAATTTGACGAAAGACTGGAAAAGACTGTTAAAAGCAGAAAATTAAGAAAGAGACCCAAAGTCAAGTGAGGTTGACCAATTTAGATAAATACGGTAAGAATAGTGATTGGAGGTTTTAGGCGGACGCTTCGTTCCCTAAATACAATGTATTTTATAGCAAATCTTGCATTTTTTAAAGTTTGCTGTTTGTTCTGAATTTATTCCAATGTGATAAAACTCTGTATTAGGTACTAATTTTGAGATAAATGTCGAAAGGTTTTTACACTCCGTCCCAGTCTCCTTGTCAACTTCAGAATGGCTATTGAAAAGATTTGGGATAATCTATTTATTCAATATACATATTTAGTGTGATTGTTTTAAACTAAATAGAAATGTTGTGCTTATTTGTTATTAGTTTTATTTTGGTTAATACCGAAGAACGAAAGTGTCTATGCAGTGTCTTTCCTGGTGGTGTGCATTCTATTAATAATCAAGCTAACCAAGGTGCACATGTATTCAATTATTATTAAGTTATAGCTAGATTAAGTCAAATTCCTCACGGGCAATGCGTATACCTTAGAATCAGCCAAGATTGTGCCTCATCATGCAGACATAGGAACGTTATATACAATTAAGAAACATTTATCGAACACAACAAATATTGCCTCCGCCAGGAGATTTGTCTGTTCGTGGTATTGCTTGTCTGTCCATCTGAAGAATACCTATCATACAGTTTATATAATGCGAGTCTTTGTGGTGCTGATGGCCATTAGCCAAGGACCAATCAATTAGATTTTGGGTTAATTTGAATGGACATTGGATGAGAAGTTTAGGAATGCATGTTCTCCTATCCTGTAATTACTGCATTTATAATTTATCCCATGAATGAATACTTGACTTATTAGTGGCAGAGGTGTTTAGTTTCTAAGTGTCCTCTAAGTAAACTTATGTACTTTTCTGTCTCATCGTTTAGGTCTAACCAGATCTCGTCGAAAATCCCTCTTAACATCGTTCTATAAATCAGTAGTTGGATTATTGTTCCCCTCCCCGAATCCGGCTGAGGAGTTGCTAGATGATGCTGGCTTGGATATTACCCATGATGCAATGGAAACCTATCAATGTGCCACTGACCATAAAGCGTATGCACTCAGAAATGAAACACATCAACTTTTCTTGCTCTTTGCAAGCAATGTGCCCACATATGCACTGAGGTGAGGACTAAGTGTTAAATAAGCCATTAATACCAAGTTAATAGAATAGAAAGAAAACAGAACACAGACGTCCAACATTTTCCGTGTAAATTATAGTGTTTCCAACCAAAATCCTAAATTTGTGGGACACATTGTTCGGACAAAAAAATAGTATAAACAATTTGCGTAGACAACTGTAAAGTTGTTGTATTGAAGCGATTCACTCTATAGTTTCTACAATGAAACCGAATAAATGTCAGACCAAATATATACATTTTCCCAGACAATTTTATTTATTTTTAAACGTTATTTCAGGCTCTGTACTGTTGACTAGTTGTGCGAAAATATGATTGTTGGTATGTGGAGTATTTAGGTCATTCTGAGAAGACATTTATCTTTGTAGTATAACCTTTATCCTGCAGTCAATTGTTTCACTGTCAAAGTTTCCGGATTTGATGTCATTATATGAATTTGCAAATTAATTTTCCTTTGTTTTTGCCTAAAAAAATGTAGCGAGTGAAAAAGTTGATCAAGGTGAAGTGTTTACTATAAAGATATATTACATTTCTTCATAGAATCACCCATTCAAAATATATTCATACCGAAAATCATCAAATTCAAAAGATCAATTCTTCAAGCTGTGATTGTTTTTTTTTTTAGAATGTTGACAGAAGAAACATTAAATCTTCTTACGAAGGACCATCTAATCTAGGATATCAGCAGAACGGACATTTATTATAGCTAATCGTTCTGCAACCAGGTTGCGGTTTTGGAGTGAACATAAACAAACGGTGTCATCACAATGGAATCATTAGTGGATCAACGCCGCAATGAGAATTACCCTGAGCGATATGGTAAAACCCCCAGTCAAAAGAAGGACCCGCAAAATTCGAAATAGATGAGCAGCTTGGGAATAAAGGACACAATAACAGTTGTTTCATTCATTTTTTTGTAACTTCTGACTGTATCAGCTGAAATCAATAACATGAAACGTTACGTTGAATTTAATGATAAAGCGTCGCGGAATATTGAATCGTGGTGCATGTTTATATATATATAATATAAATATTGAAGTCACATACGATATTTACATTCATAATTTAAATTTTAGATTTTGGAAAGGTAAAAACGAATATTTTACACATATTATACGTACAAACTATTTACAACCCAAATGACGTACGATTCATATCATTGTCGATGTCAAGAGATCCAGCATACGATAACAAATAACATATATTTGACCTCTAATATTTGATATCTAATATTTGATATTACAATTATATAAATTTTTCTAATAAGGGAGAAGGACTTAACGTTTCTTTGATGGAAGTGACTTTGACTTTGCTTGTGTTCTTGCCCTCGCTTGAGACCTTTCTGCTTTTAACTAAATGAAATTTAAAAAGACAAATTAAAATGAAAAGAAATTCTTCTTAATTTGATAATTTCCATTTTTCATAATATTCATGAAAAAAGTCTAATAATCTAATTGGCTAAGATCAGTACAAAAAGAGAGTAGAGCCTGAAAACAATATAAACTTTCACTTTTCACAAACGACAAACTATAAATGTACCCTACCGGAAAATGTTTCGTATATGAAACAGTTGTTTCCATGCAGGTCTGATATAACCCAATATATGCATTGAACGAAGCCTTACATATAAATGTAAGGATGAGTTTTTAAGGTAAAACACTTTAACATATCCACATTCTGAGGTGCTTCAATAGACAAACGATACTGTAGTTGTAAAAGTACATCTTCGCGGCCGTAAAGCGAGAGCAATATTCTATATTAAATCTCTCTCACAATTTTTAACATAACATAATTGCAGAAAAAGCTATATTTTACTTTTAAACCCGAACTAGTGTTTTCGCGGCATAAGAAACAAAAATCTTCAAAAACTGTCAATTCTAGATTCCCCTTATTACGTTTTCGTAGCGCTTTGCATTGTGGTTATGGTGGTATCACTGATAAAGATAGCGGCCTCGAATGAAAATATTGAATGTTTTCGCGAATATTATGCTGTTGGCTATCGCGCACCTAAGTTCTTGCACGGATCAGGACAAAAAATAAGCCATCTTGAATATCAGTGATACCACTATAACCACAATGAAAAGCGCTACGAAAACGTAATAAGGGGAACCGTCAATTGAAAAAATTACAGTCTGTTTTGCTTGGAATTTCGCACGAAAACATCGATCAACAAAATTACTGGCGTTGCACCACCTGTGCATATAAAGCTTTCTTAATTAAAAGGAACTGCATGCCATTACCCTTTCTTGATAGCGCTTCTCAAAGTAAGCCATATCTGCTTCTTCTTTAGTCATTCCTGGTTTTTGGATATCTTTCATTTCCTCTAAGGATAGCTGAGCCATGTCAGAATGTGCGCGTAAAAACGGATGATCCTCTGGCCCTACAGTTTAAAAAAGTTTTAGAATAATCAATATACGGTATAGCTCGAGCACAGTTAAAATAATATCATCTTTTGGTGAAATCAAATTGCCACAATAAATCTAACCTTCTCAAAGAACTATCTGGCTTATTATCTTACATATGTGACTCATATCAGTTTCATTTGGTTGGAGAGGTATTGAGAATCAACCTCATCGCAAGTTAGTAAGAAAGTAACATACTATGGGGCTTCGGTGGCCAAGTGGTTAGCGCACCAGCTTGCCTTTCACCTCTAAGGTAGCAGGTTCAAACTCAGTGAGAACTTCTCGATGTGACTCGAACCCAGTCCTCATGTGAAAGGAGTAAAAGTCAACGCTCTGCCGAAAGTCATGGGTTTTCTCCGGGTAGTCCGGTTTCCTCCCACAGAGAAAGTTGACAGGGTGGGTTAAACACATAGGTCAGGGGGCAGCTAGATCATTAATGAGGTATGGACTAATAGCGGCTGCTTAAAGCGCCATTCAGTAAGCTCACAGTCTACCTCGGTCTACTTCACGCCAGTTCTAATGTAACCAGTCACTGAAAAACCCTGATAGGGAGTGTGCTGCGCAATATCTGCATCTGTATATTATGCAAACATGCAAACTGTACCTATTGGTTTTTCTAGAAATTCCCTAGATGGTGCACCAATGCCGCTGTCATCCAATCTCATGTAACCTTCAGCTAGTGAACTAAATCCAGTGAGGCCACCCATAGCAGCATATGGTACATCGTGACCGACTGGGTGACCGCGTGCTTCACGTTCAGATTTCGTTTCAATGATTGTCTGTAAAAATTATCACATTGTTTATGAGTTGGAGAACGGTAATATTGATACAAATACAATACATTACAAATACAATAGTATTCAGATACAATTAATTTACAAATACAATAGCATTCAGAAGTTTACTTTCCGTAAGGGTTTTGACACCATTTGGAGAGCATAAGTCATGCAGAATTATTTTTAAACTGTTTAGGCCCCAGTAAACGATGGATTTACTGGGGCGTGCAGAGGGGCGCACACCACTCCGTGGCCAAGACTCGATGAGCACCCTCTCCCCAGCAGACCTCGCTGGATCCATCCTTGGATGAGCACACCATGCAAGCAATGAATAAAAAGCAAAATTCGGGGGCAGAGTGGAAAGATGGCAATAGGGCAGTAGGAGGACACTTAATTTTAGTTTGAAATACCTATATAATTAATGAATCCTTTATAAGCAACAGCTTGCAAGTTATCCCTTGCACAGTTGCAAAGAAACGTACCTTATGCGAATGTGCGGGGTTACCACAACTGCAAGTAAAAGCGCTCCAGAACTTCTTACATGAACATCCTTTGAGACATTTATACGGCTTACTTTCGGAATGGTCATCAGCGAAATGTTTACAGGTACAGCGTATTGGTTGTGTACCATTGCGCGGTACGTAATGATAGTTGGAACATCTACAACCTGACACACGGCATGGCACAAGGATGGGACGAGTGCTTGGAATCTCAACGAAATCTGTTTTGTGCTGTTTGTATCTAAACAATGAGTGAAGTGAACTCATTTCGAGTCTAACAAACTATGAAAAAGATGATTTAACTGGCATATTTCTTGACAGCAGGCGGCAATGTAGCCTACGTCATGCATAGTCTACCAGGAACCGCGATCAAGTTAGAGTCTATGACATGGGCTAGTGGCCTCGCTAGTGGCAATCCAAGGCAGCCGATCAATGATCGGCAAGAGATTCATTTATGATCGGCGGGAAAACATGGTTTTCAACCAGGAAAAAGCACGGAAAGTTATGACTACCGATCACCATGATCGGGAAATTTGAGAACCTATTTCAAGCCCTTGGGCTTGGGCAATGTAAAACTCTTTCATTAAGGTGAAAGTGAAAATAAGAGGTAACAATCATCTTTCCTTGCAGCTGACTGCTGAATTGCGAAGGACGCAGCTCAAACGTGACCCAGCGCGTCGGCGTACAAGGGCGTCTCGGCTGTCACCATACGGAGTGATACCGACCCATGCATGCTTGGTCACAGAGCACAAACTTGTGAGGGAGGAAAACATAAACACTTGACACAAGAGTATTTACTCTAACGGTCTGTGCAAGCATAGGTAGTGTGTGATAATAACACCAGAAAGCTGCAGACTGAGAGGGATTCAACTACCCAAAAAATACAAGTAAAATTTGACTTTTCGAGCGAAGGCCTTTCATCGGCAAGTTAGTAAATACTAAATACTAACTTGAATCTCTCTTGACTGTTTTTCCTAAGGTCGGACAAACTTATCGAAATAGTTTTATCTTGCACTATTTTTAGTTAGATTTAATCATGTTATACCTCTACAGTACATTGTCCAAATATATCTGAAAACGATCCACTTATTAGCCTACATATATGGTGTATAAATACTGCCTACATAATACTGTATCTATGCAGGGGAACCAAATTTCGAAAGGGGGGGGGGGGCATATTTCCTACGAAATTCGGCTTGGGGAGGGCATATATTTTTAAGGGGGGGGCATATTTCCTGTTACACTGGAGCCTGGAGGACTCGGGAGAAACCCTTTGAAGCACAGTGGGGAGAACCAACCACAACTCTTCTTATGTACGTGAGTTTTGGAGAAAATACTGCATTTTATATTTTACCTGTGTTTACAAAAGCAAAGTGTTTCTGGCCCAACTTGTTTGCAATCCATTCCTCTAGGTTCAGTCCAGCTTACAAATAAACGGTTCTTCATTCTCCTTGGTACAACAGTTTTCTTGTAGTTCTCATATTGCTCTGGTGTGAACAGAACACCTCCATCATCTTCACCAACAATTCTGATAAAAAAAGTTAGATATTATTATAATGCAAGAATTTTGTGCGCGTAGATACCTTACTTGGTTACACAATTTTTCTGGGAGGTATAATTACGAAGGAATATTGACCGATCGAAAACTACACTGTACCTACCACATTTTGCATCATTTGTATAGTAATAGTATGGTTTCGAGTGCAATTTGTAAAAAATATGCACGAGCGAATTTTTCAAAGACTATCAAAATTGCAGGAGTCCGAAGGACGAGTGCAACTGATTTGAAGTCTTTGAAAAACTCACGAGTGTATATTTTTTCATATTGCACTCGAAAGCATACTATTACTTATTAGTAATATACATGGAACAATTATGCAGTCACATGTATAAGTCACATTTAGAAATTAAGAAAATTAAGAAATTTGAAAATTAAGAAAATTAAAAAATTAAGAAATTTGCACTGTATTTCTTTTTTTTGCACTGTATATTTCATTTTATGGCACTGTATTTCGAAGCTGCTCTGTATATTATTATGATTATTATATTATTATGATTCATTATCTGCATGATATTCAAGGCAAAGTGTAAGAATTTAAAATTGAAAACAATCGTGTAAATGAAAATATAGCCATGCAGCTTTGAAATATGAAAAAAGCACCAAAAGAAGGTAGTCAAAGGTAGTCAGGTTAGTACTTTTATTATTATTATTAGTATTAATAAGCTTTATTTGCATGACCTAATTACAGGTATTGCTAAGCGTAATCGTAAGAATATTAAAGTTAACTAGTATAAAAACTACTTTAACTAACGAAAAACAATATATACTGCTATATTTACATGAATTATATATCAAATAGGAGATATATGGCAAATACAAATATGAAAATTTAAGAATAGAAAGGATTAGAAAGAGTGTAAAATAGAAAAGGGAAGGTAAAGTAATATAATATATAGAAATTTCTGGTTTAGGGGCTGTTGTCTCTGATATAAAAACATTTCGAAACATGCTTGGAAAATAGATCGGTTATCACAGGGTCAATCATTGACATAAGATCATTTAATAATTTTCTCTTTAATTCATCAGTGATATTCATTTGGAAAATAGTCTTTCAGGATGCTGTGCAAAGTTATTTCACAAACTCTCGTATTTATTACATTCGAATGCAAAGTGAAATTCGTCTTCAACTGTACGTTTGTCGCAGTATTTACAAAATCTCTCTTCTCTAGGTACGTTTTTATAGCGACCGAACTCAATTTCTAGTTTATGGTTACTTACACGAAATTTTGAGAACATTCTTTTTTGCCTTTGGTTCGGCGGATCTTTGATGTTATTTAAGTATTCTTCTAAGTTATAATCTTTCTTAAATGTTGAATAAAATGAGAGTTTTGAAGAGTTTTCAATTTGATGTTTTCAAAATGATGTAGCCTATATTTATCTTTAATTGTTTGCCAAATCTAGCAGAAACGTCGGTATTTTTAACATTTATTTTCTCAAAGAGAACAGATGGTACTATATTTATACTTTGTAAAATGTTTAGTCTTGAAGTACTCTATAAGGCAGCAGTGATTACCTGATTCATTGATTGAAATTGATTTCATAAGGGAAGCCTCACACGAGAAACGTCATATGTTCGTTTCTCTGTATATAGACCCCCCAGGTCTCCCCCTTAAAAACGTCGCACATAGCTATCGATATTTTGTTCTTTAATATAAGTAGTACACATAAGGTAATTTTCTACTATTGAATTTGACTGGTCTTCGTCTTCGAGATCCCAGGCCGCACGCATTTTTCTTGAAATTTGAGCGTTTTCAATGCAAGGTATGGAAGGCGTAATAATATAAATGTATAGAACAGGTATGGTATTACGAATGTATAGACTGGTGTTTGCATCAAGTTGTTTTCTTTTTTTATATTCTGCATAGATGATTCCGAAATGTTAAGGCTTTCTTTTCCATGATGTTTTGCAGCGAAACGTCACAGCTGCAAACCCGCCCCACCCCCAAACGAACATATGACGTTTCTCGTGGACAAAATCGATATGTGAGGCTTCCCTAAGAAGAAAAAAATGACAACCATTTTTCAAATTGGTCTACGTCGAATATGAAATAAAGCCAACTAATTAAGTCATTAATACTGTATTAATTCCATTAACTATATGAAATATAAATATATAATATCAAATCAAATTAATAATGCCCCAACATATTGCTGATATAACGTTCAAAAACTCATTAATAATTCAGGAGCAGAACACAAAGAAAAATCATAAGCGTGTCGTGGTTTTATATGTGGTATGATAAAAAATCACGTTAATTTACATGAACTTTAGCTTTGATTTTCTCGGTTTAGACAAAGTTTATTTTAAAAATTACTTCGCCAATGACCTCGTACAAGATGAGTCGTTTTTGAAGCTATTTAAAGCACTTGTAGTTGTGTTTTATCACATATAAAACACTCCGCTACGCGTCGTGTTTTATATGTGATAAAACACTCCTAAGCGTGCTTTAAATAGTACATAATAAACATCGCATGTATGGAGGCAATTTTCCCTGCAACTTGCAATGAACTTTTTTCTGAATAAATTTGATATGACTTTCAATAAGGGAAGTGTTAATTTTAATTAATATCCAGATTGCAGGCTTGTCTGTTTCAGGATCACTGTTCAGGATAGCTAGGTTGTTTTGCATAGGAAATTACACAGTTCTAGAAGACTACTACTACAAAGATGAAAACGTGCATGCTTGGTGTAATGCACCTATCAATGTTAGGTCGGCGGGGGGGAGGCGGGGCAAGGGGGCGGGATTTGATGGGAAAGTATATCCCGTGAGTGGGGAATTTGACAATCAGTACAGTCCCGGGGGCAGGGGTATTTGACAAATTTTAAAAATTGTTGTCATTTGCATATATAATGAGCAGGGACGCAGTGGGATCTCCGGAACATCTGAGATAAATGTTGCCACCAAATCACGTGTCGTCAGTTCTGGAAAATGGCGGGGACTACTGAAACTGATATAAACTGTTGATTTTTCTCTTTTTAATATTCATCACAAACGAAACTTTTTTGGTCTTGTATTGCACTTCTCTTACTGTCGATGCAATGGAAGTGTTGACAAAATATTGCATGAATTCAATTCCTCAAGTTGATCAATTCATACTAATTCAAATTTCTTTTTACTTCCTGTGCGTTTCCTATTGGTCAATCGGTTCTGAAACGAAATCTAATTTGCTCATCTAAAAGTAACAGGAAGTTGATCAATTTTCTATCAAATGAATTGATCAACTTGAGGAAATGAATTCATGCAATACTTTATCAACATTTCCATTGCATCGACAGTAAAGCAATATAAATAATAGAATACGAACATTTAGTTGTCAAGATGTGGATATTATGATATTAACCACTTTGTTTAAATTATTTCAAAAATTAAATTGTCTTTATGTTTTACGTAATATATGCAACATGAACAAGTGTTTTCCCTCCGATATACGGACAAGCAGGTTGAATATATGAGGCAATTGTCCATATTTAGAAATCATAGGAAAAACATTTGCAATTGTTGGATATGCCTTCTCAAACAAATCCATACTTCAAAAGAAAATCTAGAATAAATTTTGGCAAAAAATGTCTGTAATCTTCCTATGATTTCAAAAAACAGACTTAATATACTTCCTTTATGAATTATTCAGTTTGAGAAATCTCTTTGAAACAGTTTTAATTGCCCCTGGGTACGATCGATTTGACCAGCACTTGAATCCCTGGGGTAGGGAATTTGACACAAAATTTTGTTTGAGTGTCAAATCCCCGCCCGCCTAACATTGATAGGTGCATAATACTTATCAATATTGATTTTTCTGTGTTTGTGTAATGTACTCAGGTGAATATGATGCTTGCATGGATAATAAAATAAATGGAAAGGAAACTAGCTGACGTGACCTAATGTTTTCAATGGGCTGATGGCGTGGTTGGATGTCCCAACCTAGTTGAAAACCAAATTCTCAAAAACGGCATGTTTAGCAATGATACAGCTAAACAATTTAGTCAAAGAGCAAATAAATATAACCACGCCATTCTACGATGAAAATTCTAAGTATTCCCAGTCAATTTTAGTAAATATTTGAAGCACTAAACAGTGAAATACATCACAAATTTCGTTAAAATTTGTGACGCCAATTTCGTAGCTACAAATGTAAAACAAAAAATACAAAACAAAGACGAAAAACATTTACCTTGAATACTTTGTCGTGGCTTAGGCATGTTTTAGACAATTAGACCAGTTTATACTTCAATATCACCCTTTTAAATTGGAAAATATAGCAAAACAACAAAAATGCCGAGAACTTTGGTAAATGGTAATGTTCGCAATACGCGTGACGTCACGTTTTTCAACAAAGTCGCGGCCAGTGACGTCAGAAGTTTCCTATCCAGTTCAGTATTTGTGATGTTACTCTGAGTGTGGTGTATGTCCACACCGGGCAAGCTTGAAAAATATGCCTGACCACGGTGGGAATCGAACCTACGACCTTTGGAATACTAGCCCAATGCTCTGCCAACTGAGCTACGCGGTCAGATCGGTTCGAGTATGTGATATTTTGGAACAGAAACTAGTTCCTTTGAATCCTTTAAAGAAATCATTACTGATTATTAGATTACATTGATATTGAAGGAACTAGCTTCTGTTCCGAAATATCACACACTCGAACCGTCCAGACCGCGTAGCTCAGTTGGCAAGCATTGGGCTAGTATTCCAAAGGTCGTAGGTTCGATTCCCACCGTGGTCAGGCATATTTTCAAGCTTGCCCGGTGTGGATATACACTCAGAGTAACATCACAAGCATCTTATCAATATATTATACTGTGAGCTTGTCATGTGTTAAATTAAAAGCACAAAACAATAATTAATTATCTTATTATGTCACTGGTACTGTAACAAATATTGCAAAAGGTTGTAAATAGCTAAATTAACATAGCAGCAAATTTGTTTTATGGCCACTATTTTTCCCAAACATGTTGCTGAGCGGGGGGAGGTGAAAAATGTTTTTTGTAAGTTACTTAATAACTCTACATTCTATCATTTAAAATTTTTGATTGCCCTGCCAATCCAGATGATTCGCCCCGCCAATCCAGATAATTCGTACTTGGGGGGGGGGGTCCACCCCCCATACCCCCTCAAGTTTCGCCCCTGCAGCAGATCTGTGTTTGACATTAATAGGAGTGTGACACAGTAGTGGGCCCATACTCTATATAAGGGCCCCAACAACTGAAGAGTCAATAACTGAGGAGTCAAGAGCCAAGTACTTATAACAATTTAAATAGCTTTAAAGAAATTAAAATATGAGTATATGCCTGAAGGCTGTTCACAACCCAAATGAAAACATGACTTCATTCAATTTCACTTTTTAATTCATTTTCATGCAACACAATTTAATTAAACAATGATCATCTGATTCTGACATCTCTGTACGTTCAGATTGATCCTTGATCTAAACTTATAATAGCAGAATTAACTGCATTTGTTTCCCCTAAAATGTCATCAGAATACTTTAATTTGCTAGTGCCATGTTGAAGAATTTCAATATGACTGGCACATATGGGGCGCAACAAGAGAAACCGAGGAGTTGAGGAGATCTTGTGGACTAGATCTAACATTCCTTGAAATATATATTCTTCAAAACAAGTGGCGCAAGATTGTTGTACAACTGGCAGAAAACCACCGACTTCTGTGCATGGATTAACCCTGATAACTCAATTAAGATTAGCTCAGTAAATGGGAATTTCACTCAAGTCAGGTTGAGTATTGTACCTACTGTATGTCCAATAGTTAATCAATATAGCAGACTGGCATAATAGCAGACTGGCATAACTATTAGCAAATAGCAGACTGGCATAACTATTATCATGAGTTATAGACCAGTCCTATATTTCATCTCTCAGGGTAATTTTTTGGCAGAAATTACCCCGATATATTATACCGAAACCTTATAAATGATATATTATACTGAACCTTATAAATGATATATTTTTATTTTACTTGTCTGTGTAAACGTGATTGCATGGCCTTGATTGTGTTGATCGAGCCATAATACTGCCAAAATCAGGTCAGACAAAATCATGGCCTATTACAAATGTATGGCCCAGTACCTGTGGCATTTGGTTGAAAATGTCACGTTTCAGACACACCGATTATCACGGTGTATCATCACACTCATTATCGCTCATGAATGCCTTGCTAAAAAATTTCACATTTGAGACACACCGATTATTGCTGTGTATATATAGGTGATCGGGTGTGCGGGCTGTGATAAGGTGGACTTCAATGATCTGGATTATTGCACTTCACTTGGTGGAATTAATATTAGAATGCTGTTTTTAGGGTTTGTAATACAAGCATTCACTTCATTCAATGGTATTCGCTCAAAAATACCATGGTCATGTTGACAAACCTTTTTAGTTCTCAGATTGGACAAGCTTAATGAGAGGTATAATATTAACAAAATTGGTTCTTGGTCCAATTTTTAAAATTCATTGTAGGCCAGAAACACCCTGGGTACCGTACTATCTAGTGACTTACAGTCGATCACTAGTCAGTCAACCCATGAACACAAACTACAGAAGACACGGTGTTCGTCCAGAGTCCAGACGGATAACGTTTCCTTTATAAACAGCTAGTGTAATATTTTCAAGTTTCAATTATTAAATTTGCACAGTACAAAATTGTAAATTCATCTAAAAGTACTAAAACAGAATAACAGATCTATTAATTTATCTAACCTTCGATATTCAAGATATTTATCGACAGATGCACATGCTGAGGCATCCAGCTTGAGGTGGACACGATCTTGGGACATTGCCTTGATGAAATTCAAGTTTTTAAACAGTTCAATACAATGATAAAACAATACTCTTTGCCAGGAAATTGGCCAGAGATTGCCTGGATACAGAAATCTGCAACAAGTTTCAAAAATCAAAACAAAACAACCGACAGTGCGCTGCACCGTAATTGATTTGCATATAATACCAACCGCTGACTTATAGGTTCCGCCGTCCGCCGAAGAAAAAATCAAAATGACGATTCGCTCCCTCTGATTCGCTCACAGTAAATTTTTTTTTCTTTGACTGCAATCTCGTTCCCCGAGCCTGCGATCCTCGGGAAGGAACGCGAGGCTCTGGGATAATCCGTTGCCGGAAGCCAGGAATTCTGGCTAAGATTGAACTACGCATTCCATTTCAACGGCCAATCAGATTCCTCCCTGAAACGGATTATCCCAGAGCCTCGCGTTCCTTCCCGAGGATCACAGGCTCGGGGAACGAGATTGCTTTGACTGAGGCTAAGCGAGAGGTCTGAACTGGAGGATCGAGTTCTTCTTTCGTCTGTTTGTAAGGGGTAAAATTGGGAACTGGGATTACTGTCAGGAATAAACGGTTTAAAAAATAAAGCAATCTAAATCAATTAACGGTTTAAAATCCAAGAAAACAGTATAATTTTTGGAATAATTTTGACATTAATATGAAAGAAAACAAGATGTCAAAAATCGCAAGAGAACGTCAAATGTTATTGATTTGCATGGAAAAATATGAACTATGCCTGTGGGCCGCGGTTCGATGACATTTTGCAAGCAGCTTACAAGTCGAGTCAGTCGACATCACACCATAGCCGACATCAAAACACATGTCAATTTTCCCGTTTTGTAGGATAGGAGGCCCCGATTGCGATTTATGAATAAGCTATATGATTTAGTTAACAAATACCAAGATTTTGCCGTTGTCTGTTAAGTGAGGGTCTCCCAGGGGTTTGGGGGGAACAAGGGAACACTGTAAATTTTACAATGGGAACACGGGAAGAAAGGAAAACAAAATTAGGGAACAAGGGAAGTTAGGGAACACGAAATATATCGGGGAACAGGGGAACAAAGCCCCTTTCCTAGAATGTATACAAGTGTTACAATGGCCTAATGTATTGTAGATGAAAATGGGCATAATATATCGTCTTCTGATCTCCCTGGTGGAGTTTTTTTCTGACATTAATGACCTCCCTGAATTCGGGTTTGCGCTTGCTAGATGAAGTACCTACTTTCCCTGCTGTTGAGCCGGCGAGCAAATCGCGCTGAATGCATTCCTTATTCTGAAAATGGCAAGGGAACGAGGGATGGCAAGAGTGCTGAATTTGTCCAACCAGCTGGTATACTTGTGGTAGACTGTTCTACGGGATGCTTGAGGATGATAAGTGAAGTTCCTCCTCTAGTCAGACTTTTGAGCAGCCACCTGAAAAAGCAGATACCAACGCCCTTCACAATCGACGCAGCAATCACCAGAATCGAAGAGGTATATGACTTTGATTGTCAGTGCATACACAGAACAAGTCAAAGCCTTCCTTAGAACAAATGCCCAGAGCCAAGGTTCGCAAGGAAACGTTTCTTCAGTCGTTGTGGAAGACGAAACAAGAATCTTGATAGCTTATGGAGAAATCCAGGGACCGAGGTCTGCTTCAAAAGTATGCTCCATAACTTTTCAAGGTGTTCAAACTTAAAAGCCTTTTGACGCTGGTAGTCGAAAATTTTTTCTCCGAGATGAGGGCAGGGCATGTGATATGCCAATGCAGTTGCAGTTCGACTTTCGCTTCAGTAGAGCAATGAAGGAGCACTTGAATACTTCAAGTCAAATCTGACTTGAAGTATTCAACTCTACCAAAGATGGTCCGATCTTCAGCAGCACAGTTGACAAAGTCACAAGTGCAGCAAATGAGAGACTGGCGCATGAAGTATGGCCAAAGTGTCCCACAGAAGACCGTGCGAAACATGACTACTAAAGACAATCCGGGTACTCTGCCGATAAATCTCTATGCCCAGGCACAGCCAGCTAGCGAGCCTTTGGATTTCTCGAAAATTACAGAAAATGGTACCCAAACAGACACACGCCAGGCCAACACGCACAACCTTCTTCATTCCACAGGAGACGTTATTTTTCTTGCCTCCTACGCCAATTCCGGGCAGATGATGATCTACCAACTACAAGAAAACGTTAGTGCTTCAACAAAGAAAGCAAGAGCCACCATTTTTGAAGGCGACCCTTTCAATCCACTATATTTACAGAAGAAGGAGTTGTCGAGGTCAATGCGAAAGAAACATCTGGTTCTCTGGTGGAAACCGTTTGCAGGAGATAGCGACCTTGAACTGACAGAGAATGAGTTTCTAAGATAGCAGTCGAGAATGATTGAATGTGTTGATGCGGTGACGACTGAAGAGGGGAGAGAAATTAGAGAGCGCCAGAATATCGATGAAGAAAGTGCAGCAGATACGACAGATACGAGGCCAAGACGTGCAAGAAAGACACCACATACTGACGATTTTGTCTATTATGATTAGTAAAGGTGATACTTTAGTACTTTAATCGTTGGAACAATTGAACAAACTATAAATGCAATGCTGTTCATTAGATCTATTTTTTGTTATGTAATATTAATTCTGTCAATACTTCCACGAAGTCAAATACTACTTATATCATCGATTGGATTATAAGTTTTTTGACGAATCGAAAACAAAGAGTTGTGGTTGACGGAATCATAACAGAATATGTAGATATTAATAAGGGAGTGCCACAGGGAACCGTCATTGGCCCGTTTCTATTTTCTCTTATGGTTGATGACATAAAACCCAAACAACCTGAAACTAACGTATTGGTTAAAGATGATGTCCACTCCGTTTTGCGTATCAGTTCTGCTCATAACAAAGGGGGACCCCCAGATATAAACATTAATTGCCCAAATATTGCATCTTTCGAACTTTAGACATTCAGTTAGTATATAATATTTTACAAATATAGCAGTTCAAAACGTAAACAAAGTTCGCACATGCGCACACGAGTGGACATCATCTTTACATTTGCGGATAGTTTTCGTGAGGATTTAACCTCTCGAGGCCTTGAGGAAAATATCTATCGTGTTTGATATTTTTCGCCTCGCGAGGAAAAAATCTCAGCGTCTGCAGATGTTGTGAGCTAAGTGCTGAGCTGTTTGAATCAATTTGCCAATGACAAACCATGGTTTCTTCATGTGACTTGAAGACATGATTTTGTTATTTATGTTGTTGTTGAGTAATTTTCTCAACGTGTGCGGTGATAATACATAGCTGAGCTAGCTGTCACGCGAGGCGGTTAGCTCAGCAAGTTGCTCTCGTGTGCGGCGGGCTTAACTCTACTCCAAACACCAACTCTGACCCTAACCCTAATCCTTACCCTAACCTTAACCTAACCCTACTACAAATTCGTTTCTAAACCAATCTTGAAGAAAAAAGTTTTGACGAAATGTCATTCTGAGGTCAGCGAAATAGTTGATGCCCATGCAGCTAGTGCGTATAGAATGTATTGAACGTAAGAAATGGTTAAAACTGCTAGGTATTACCTTCGAGGACGATGTGTGCTGCTGGGACCTACACGTTGATGGCTTGTTGTCGAAGACCGGAAGTCGAATGTATATTCTAAGAGTATGTAGAAGCTATGGACATCGGAAGGAACATCTCAGCTATCTTTTTTACTCAATTATATTATCGTTATTTTTATACGGTTCTTTTACGGTATTTTATACGTTATTTTTATTGTGTTTTTTTTAAGCGAGCGTATCGATGAATGGGTATGTACTGAAAGAGTAGAAAATGTCTGAGTTGATTGAAACGAGAGACAGATTTCTATTCAATAGGATTTTAGATAATCCTGAACATATTTTATATGAACTATTGCCTGCATGAAAAAAGACAAGAAATTTTAAGTGTTCTTTTGTAAATAGGTGTCTGTTTGACTATTTTTAGTTTTTAATTGCATGCGTATAAATTATCTTAAATCATTGCATAATATTGTAAATACAGTAAATAGTAATATAGTATATTTTAGAATTAATAACCAAAATCATGTAAAGACACATGTTTGTTGTGTCTAAGGATTACCTAAATAAAGATTTTTATTATTAGAGAGTTTAAGCTTTGCGTTATACGGCAAACGACAAACGCCAGGCAAAGAAAAATTTTACGGTATGAGGCAATAAAGGGTAAATGAACTTGCTGTTTTAAAACTGCAATGCATGACTATTCTTTCGACACAAGAAAGAAAATATGAAACGAAAACGTTCAACGAAAATTTTGCCAAGAAAGTTCGAACCTGCCATTTGCCGTTCCCGGAAACGCGAAGCTTAAACTCCCTAATATTATTATCATTATTATTGCAAGCGTTAACTATAAAAGTACACCTTAATTCTCTTCAGAAGAGTGAAAAATGCCTATTAACACCCACGGTAATATTCGTTCCGCTAGGCCGAGACGTGTCGGTAAGGAGGTAGGTAATCTTCGAGTTAAGCCCTTTTCGAGATAAGCCCGGACCACGCCCAAACCACACCCATTTTCGTCAAGGGCTTATTAATTCGAAGAAAGAAACACAACTTGGAAAGTCCGAGTTAAGCTCGGTGAAAAAAGAGGGGCCTTAACTCGAAGTCACTGAAAATATTCGACGCTCGAGATATGCCACGACATTCGAGGCATATAAAAGAGCAATGATTTGAGTCGTCCACAATCTAGCTGGAAATAGTTATCATACGTCTCGGCTTAAAATTATCTGTAGCAAACTAACAAAGGTTTGTCACACTTAATAGTTAATACATACTTTATACTGTGTGAGATATGACGATTGTTGCACGGCTCGTTCGAATCTTCATGGCGACAACAATATTCAGTGAAAAATAGGGGTTTTTTGTCGGTAATAATGTTAAAATAAGCAAATAACTAAAACACTCGAGTCAAATCAGTGCTGCAAACGAGATTACACGTCTCGAATGCTCATCCCTGGCTCCTGAAACGGCGCCCAAATTAGGTGTTTTTTCGGCAATAATAATAACCAAAACACTCGAGTCAAATATGTGCTGCAAAGAGATTAGACTTTTCGAATACACATCTCTCGCTCTTGAAACGGCGCCCATCTTGAATAGTAATTTGAGACGTTTTGAACGGGTGCTGTGGATTGCCATGTTTGTGACACTCAAGAAAGTCGACGGAAAAAAAAGGCTGCCCATTTTAAGACTCGTGCGATCAAACACAACAGCAGCAACAACATCTGAAGCCTCAACATCAACAACAACCACAACAGCAGCAACAATAACCACGACAGCAGCAACAACACCTGAAGTCTCAGCATCAACAACAGCAGCAACGACATCTGAAGCCACAGCGTCAACAACAGCCACGACATCTGAAGCCTCTACATCAACAACAACAGCATCAACAACAACCACAACAGCAGCAACAACATATGAAGTCTCAGCATGAACAGCCACAACAGCAGTAACGACATCTGAAGCCTCAGCGTCAACAACAACCACAACAGTAGCAACGACATCTGAAGCTTCAGCGTCAACAACAACCACAACAGCAGCAACGACATCTGAAGCTTCCCTCGACATCAACAACAACCACAACAGCATCAACAACAACCACAACAGCAGCAGCAACAACACCTAAGTGTCAGCATCTACAACAACCACAACAGCAGCAACAACACCTGAAGTGTCAGCATCAACAACAACACAACATCTGAAACCTCCGCATCAACAACAACACGACAGCAGCAACAACATCTGAAGCCTCAGCATTAACAGCAACCACAACAGCAGCAACATCGTAAGTAAAATCTCAACAACAACGACGGCAACGACAACAACGACAACTAAAATTGCAACAGCAGAAACTGGAGGTAAAGCAGCAGCAACCTAAGCAATAACTGAAGCAACGACACAACAACAAAAACAACAACAACAACAACAACAACAACAACAACAACAACAACAACAACAACAACAACAACAACAACAACAACGACAACAACAACAACAACAACAACAACGACAGTAGCAAGAATTACTGACTCAATAACAACCACACCAACAACTAAAGCAACGACAACGGAAGCAACAAGTTGTCAACAACAACAAGTTTATCTACTCGGTTTGTAAAGAACTGCTTAATTTATTTTTTATACTAGTCGAGAAACATCAAGCACAGATTATCTTAGCTATATCATTTCCTTATATTGTTCCCTCAAGAGCATCTGCACAATACAGAGTGTGACGTATACGTAGTTTAAAAGCGATATGGAAAATGTGGTGAGCAAAATAGTTTTAATTTAATTTAATTTTCTTGAGAAAATTTACAATTGAAATACTGTAATCGTTAAATATCTGATACTATATACTACAGTATACAATTTCAAGCATTGGCACAAAAAATTCAAGTATGACATCCAGTTGAAAAACTAGGATTTAGTTTTTGAACTTCATAAAGTGTTAATTTAACTCAATATTTTGCTGGGGCTTTTACGGTATACATGTTTCAAGAACTTTTGCTCAAATGCAAAGGAGCCCAACAGCGCGGCCAATAATACTGTCGAATCGCGTGAAAACATACTGTACATTTAGGCATATTTGAATTACATTACAATTCCGGTCAAAACCTTTCTAAGGGCTTTCAAAATTCGCATATATTGTATTTCGCGAAGTGTGCGCCATATGCACTGATAACATTTCGACATAGTGTTTATTTGTTAATTCACATTTCCAAGGAATCTGTAACACACAGCCAAAGGAAGGGTTGAAATGTGGTGCCCCGTGTACTGTAGTCTAGCACCAGAGTAAATAATAGTTTGCTTCCATCGAATAGTTTTTACAGAAATTCTCGGCTTCGATATAAAATGGCCAATAGGTCACAAGTTACAGTTCTCCCAGCATGCCTCTCTTGAGTACGAAATTACTTCTAGTAAAATTACGTTACGTGCAGCAGTAATAAAAAAATAAAAAAAGTTGACTGAAAAACGAATTGCTTTTTCGAAAAAAATTATGTGTAAAACTGAGCACGAAAGTTGAAATAATACTTCTGAGAAAATATAAGGGACTGGTCATAAAGTAACTGCTAGGGTGGGCTGGAGGTAAATCACAAATTTTGCCAATAAGTTTGGTGACCCATCTTAGGATGTAGATAAAAATTTCAAAGCCCATCCAATCTTACCAAATTTATTTCATGACCCACCCACCCAATCTAAATTGGGAAAATACACTTTATAATGAAAAAAACTTCCAGGTATGAACATATATCAATACAGTGCCGGTGTTTATCTTTATTTTTGTATCTGCAAAGCACATTAGTATTAACGTTTATACCCACAGCCATTCAGCGACGAGCTTGTATAATTAAGCCAATCAGCGATTAGTTTACATCAATTGTTTACATCGTGCTCGCACCTAACCTGCGAACGGGCGTAGTTTGGCCTCGTGTAAGTCGTGTACTCGTGTTATTCTTTGCCATATTTTGGCTTCAAAAATATCTTGATTTTATCTTGAATTGGCTGTCTTGTTTTCACCATTCTACTTGTGATATTATTCCAAAGTTATCTATCAACATGGAAACTTATCCTCATCTGGTAAGTAGCCAAATACCACATTTTATTATATACATTTAAACAGTATAAAAACAATCATTGTGTAATATTTTAAACAGTCAAAACTCTGGCTGCAGGCATTATATTGCCAATTAACAATATCACAAGAAACTAATGTTCTCAGGAGATACTGAATTAAATCCTGGTCCTGTATTTCTGTAACTCTGTTCAAAACAACAGTCCAACTAAGTTGTCATCAAATGTAGTGTTAGCGCAAAGGTAAAGATGTCATCAGTTAAAAGTATACTTTATATACATTTTGGTTTTGCACATTAGAGTTAATTAATCAAAATTGCTACAACCATTTTCAAATGCTAATAAAAGAATCTCTACCCTCCCTCCTCATTACATTGTCATTTTGCTTTCTAATATAAATGTTTTTGTTTAGAGATTAATACAAGAATGATGAATACATGTACTGATCTACTGGATATTGGCTGGATAATTTTGTCAGAACAACCCACTTGCAAGACAATCTTACCTAAATTCATCAGTATGGAAAATAACTTAACAGCTACAATAATCATATATTATATGGATGAATCAGATCAATGGCACATAATGTACAAAACTAAACTTGTGATACCTTCTACTCAAACAGATATTCATTATTCTCCCACAACACAAATTGTTTTTGTGTGGATATGCTGAGTTAAACTGAACAGTGTGGTATATCATTAACTGTGCACAAGGTTGGAATGGAATTATATACTTCACTCATGACCTTCAAAACATTCTCTACTATTCAGTGCATGGTCTTCGATATATGATTGACTCTTTGCTACAGTAATGCATGTTCCTTGAATAGTGTGTATGTTACTCAACAGTTAACATTGGCAAGTGTAAACAACAAGTGACAGAACTTTTGCTTCATATGATCACAATAAAGATTTTAAAAATTCGATGAGTATGGATTGACAAGTGACAATTTACTAAATAGTCGGCTGTATAGACACTTATTGTTTGCATGAATTTTTTATTTCCTGACTGCATAATTATCTGTTACAAGCATAATCACATTATAAAATTAGTTAAATTTTAGGGTGTGTGGGGGGGGGGGATTGCCCCTGCTGCCCTCTGTGCAGTGTACAGCCCGGTTAAATTTGTATTATGTTTGATTTTAAAATCTTATTTGCTATTATATTTATCATAATAAGTGATGAAAGCAGGGAAGCTTGTAAAAGTTAGGGGGGACGACTCCCACTAGGCGCCACCATGGTTTCTCCGAGGCCCCCCCCTGGCTTCCTACGCCCCTGGATGAAAGTAGATATGGGTTTTTGTTTGGTGGCCCAACCGTAGACATACAAAATAACTGGCGGCCCATCCAAACTGCCCAAAGATTTTTCATGGCCTATCCCAAATCACTCCGGCCCACCCTAGCAGTTACTTTATGACCGGTCCCTAACGTGATATTTAACGTAAAAGATGCTGGGATCAATCGGAAAAGGAAACCTAATTTGTTTTGTTGTAGTTTGTACGGCCAAAACAACCAAGCAACAAGGCTACAAAACGTCTATACAACACCAAAATCGTAAGAAATATGAAACTATTGTTGAAGAAATAAGATTACAACTCACTCAGGTAATGTAGCCTTAATTTTTTAAACTTGTAAACTGCTTGCAGAATGTCATTGAGCCACAGGTATAGTTCATATTTTCCCAAGCGAATGAATAACATTTAACGTGTTATCTCTTGTGATTTTTTATGAAGCGCTGCATCCTGCAACGCAATTTCGGCAAACGTATACTCTGCAACCAGGGTCTTATAATTTATAAAGTATGTCTCGGGCGAAATTTTGTAATTTGAGTATGCGGTACAGATTCCTTGATATATACGATCATGGCATCATGCGATCAGTCAAAATCGCTATTAACTCATATTCTATATCGGTCTGTCACCACTTGATCTCCTTATTGGCTTTATACTTGAGATAATCTTCTTTCTTGAAGTACGAGATTTCTGTTTCGTGTTCTGGAAATATTAGCAGAATAAATAAAAGACAAAAATATCGTAATCTAAATCACCTGGACCAACCTGGATTCAATTAATTGGGATTGGTTGTCAAGAAAGTTAAAAACGTCGGCAATAAAAATCTACTTTAAACTTGTAATTGTTGTCTAGTAACTACTGTAGTTTCTTTATGGGATAGTCGTAATTGAGGACCTGTAGCGAATTTCCTGGTGCTATATGCCTATATTGGTGTATTTTAGTATAGTTGCTGGATCTCATAAACCATGATACTAAATCTTTGACGTGATGGGCAGGACAAAAATGTAAAAAAGCCTTGGATTGATAGGGATGCAGCTACTGTACCTTGCTTCGACGTTTCGAGCAAACACGCCCTTCGTCGAAACGTCGAAGATCTCCTTGTATTTTTCAAGTAGTTACATCCCTATCCAGGGTGCGATAATTCAATACTTTTAGCCGTACCTGACTGGTATTCCGACAACTTTTGCCGCGTACCTGGTCTGGTACAAACTTAAGAGTCAAGACGTACCTAAGACTACTTCCGAGTTATGCGTTTTTATACCTACGTATAGTTTACTGGTCCAAAAGCAAAAAATGTATGGGCAATTTTGTACAAATGAATCTTAATTATGGTATTAGTACAACATAATATAACAGTTTTCAAAGCGTCGACGTTGTGACTCGACGTTGTGACTCATTTACAGTGGATTTACCGAGGGTGCTAACAGTCTGACCTCAGCTACATACAGTGTAGTTTTCCTCATTGGGCCTAAAAAATACCTGTGGCTGTGGTTCCGGTTTCATATCGCGAAAAAATGTACAGCTAAAGTTATTCACCTTTTTGAATACTTTGGCAGGTCTGCTAGTTATTGCTAGAAGGAAAATGTAAGTATGCGAATAGCAAATTTCTGCGTACCTACGTGGTACTTGCCTAAAAACAAAGAAGTACCAGACCATAAATTTGGCGTACCTCCGGTACGTTGGTACGCGAATTATCGCACCCTGCCCATCAATCCAAGGCAGAACAAAAATGTTTCATATATCATCCTGAAAAATCCTGCGATAACTGTTGTTAGAAAAAATATTGCCTGTAGTCACAAACCAAACACGTGGTAAAGATACATTTGAGGTATAACTCTTACATCATTACATGCATGTACATTCTCGTTTGGCACAGCGATCGTATTACAGTATGCAACCTGCAAGGCATTGCTCATATATACGTTACCGCTAATGAGACGAATTCGGCAGAAGAGAATTACTGTTGCTTACCAATGCCGTTGTGTCGTAATGATATATATGCATTCAACATCAACTTGTCATCATCTTCAGTATTGATTAAAGGATCGCTGGTCTATAATATAATAAACAAAATACAATTTTCAAACCAATGTTCGACTATGCACTCATGCAGTACAAATCGCGTACTGAGATACGAGGCTCCCACTATCTAGTACGCATTTACATATGTTTGTATATGCAATTGTGTTCGTGTTCGAACTCGTGGTGTCAGATGCAATACAATACATATTATATTTTGCAATTTTTAACAAAAAAATATAAAACTAACAAACTAAATATAATAGTTAAATAATAAGTATTCACATAAAATAATCATTATTATTAATGTTGCTTATTAGGATCGACTGTTGAATAACAAATAGTTGACATTTCATTTAAGGCCTAAAAAAATACCTGTGGTTCCGGTTCCCGACGGACCCTATTTTTTTCTGCCGACCCTATTTATTCGACGCGATTGACCGTGCGACCCTATTTTCTCCGGGTGGTTGCGGGCTGCTCATACAGCGTGCCAAAATGGCGTCTGTTGTCACACTAATTATTGAACCAAATTGCCTAAATTCGTCCATAGGAACTACGCATCTCTAGTTAATATTCATGTCGGGACTCTACTGCAAATCGCCCAGCAAAAAACCGCCAAAACCATGAAAAAAATATTCAAAAAAAATTTATTTCCGACCTACCGACCCTAATTTTTTCACGATATGAAACCGGAACCACAGGACTAATGATTATATGGGGCTTGGTACCTAAATTAACCATGGGTTTTTTTCGATACCACTATGTTTTAAAGGTGATGTAAAGTCCGTAATGTAAACAAACGCTTTGTTTACATTTTGAACTCAGTGCTACAGTTGTAAAATATGATTAGATATTATATATTATACTGAATTTTTAACACTCTTCTGGTTCGCTATGCTTCTAAATTCAGACAGTAATAATAACAGACCAGAAATTCAATTCAAGAAAGTTCGGAAGGTGCGAAATATCAACAACATTCCAATGGTCGGGTCCCGACCATTGGAATGTAGGCCTGTGCAGAACGTATGCGCAGAACAGACTTTACATCACCTTTAAACAAAAAATCAAGATCGTAAAAACATACTGATATCGAAGGAACTGGACTGAGTTCCGAAATATAACCCACTCGAACCGAACACTGGACTAGCAAAGATCGCGGGTTCGATTCCCGCTGCGGTCAAGCGAACTTTTCAGGTTACTCAGTGTGGACACACTCAGAGACAACATCACAAACATATATCTTCACATGAGTGCACAACACCGGTGAGAAACAAAAAATTCAAGATCATGATAGTATTTTGAAACCCACTTAAATTCTACTAGTCAATACTCCGACAATTTACAAACAGTACAAATTGTACAGCAGAAACTGAGAAAGAAAAAATACCTTGAAACCATGAGCTTTGCATTCTATCTTCAATGTGTCTATAATTTAAAACATACTGTACCTTAAAACCTGTGAATATATTAAAGTTCAACTGGAAACAAGGCCTAAAAAAATACCTGTGGTTCCGGTTCCCGACCGACCCTATTTTTTTCCCGATCGACCCTATTATTTTTTCAACGCGATTGACCGTGCGACCCTATTTTCTCCGGGTGCTTGCGGGCTGCTGATACAGCGTGCCAAAATGGCGTCTGTTGTCACACTAATTATTGGACCAAATTGCCTAAATCCGTCCATAGGAAATACGCACCTCTAGTTAATATTGATGTCGGGACTCTACCGATCAAAAAACCGCCAAAATCATAAAAAAAATATTAAAAAAAAAATTTATTTCCGACCTACCGACTCTAATTTTTTCACGATATGAAACCGGAACCACATGTTTTTTTTAGGCCCAATGAGTCACATTGACATGGGAAGAAAAACTGGACAAGGCAAGATCATCAATATTTCATTTTATCATTTGCTTCGCTAATTTTAATAAACAATCCAACTGGAATTCCAACAGGAATTTCTATTAAAATTTACCCAAATTCCAGTTGGATCAACCAATTGGAAATCGAATAGGAATTTAAATTTTCCTATTGCAATCCATTGAACTTCGGACAGAAAAACTCATTCCAATTGGAAATTGGCCCAAATTTCAATTCCAATTGGATTCTTTTATATGGCCCAGTAAACACAAATTTGCATAAAACACCCAACTATTATGGTATTAATTTAGTAGATAGTAAATGTACTGAAAGTAAAATAATCGTAACTGTGATAGCATATATTGGCCGGGTTAATTGATTGACCATGACAAATTTGTACTTTGCAAATTAGTAGCAGCAAGGCAAATAAACATTGTGTGACAAACAAAAACAATTATTAATTAATAACTAACTGCCTTATACACTTTTAGTTTAGGATTCACAAACTGTTGTTTCATTTTCCACTTTTTAAAGATATTTCTACATGCATGGTTAGCAGATATTTATGAAGCATATACTATAGTAATAAAATTAGTAACAACCAATATTACCGTAAGCAAATGTTTTAAATGGTGGAGGCAACGTTGAACTTTTCTTGATTGCTAAGAAAATAAACACAAATAAAACTTTTAAAAATGTTTGAAGTGAAACCTGGATTATTCATATTACGTTTTTGGACACTCACTGGTTTAAAATATTTATTGAATTAACGAGTTTTCGGCTGCCAGTCTGCAGCCTTAAAGTCAGTCTGTCAAAATTTACACGTTAAAGGCTGTAGGCTGACAGCCGAAAGCTTGTTAAATCAATAACTACTAATAACTACAAATAATTTGTTATTTTGTATTAAAAGGAATTTAGAGACATCTATTCAGTGTTGTCTTCTTGGGAACCAAAAGCAGATCAGATTAACAACTTCTTCAACCAGGCAGAGTAATATTTTAAAACAGAGAGGGTCAAAAAACATAATACAAATATGACACCACGTACTTTAACAGACAAACCCCAAACATAACGAAGGCAGTCATGGACCAGCGACTAACCATTAAATTTTGAAAAAATTGTTAATAATTATCATTAGCGTACAGACAAGAATTGAGGAATATCGTTTAAAATGATGGTGTCAAATTTCATGACGATCGGACTCAAAATGAGTGAGCCTTAGGCTTTTTTCAAAGAGTGTCGCCCCTAACAACAACAACAACAACAACATTAGCAGCGATTGGGGACCAGTTCCTGGTCTAATGATGTCGTGATTACACCAACCAAGTCTTTTGTTTTTAATCTTAATTCACCCACAAAAGTAATTAGACACAACATCTGATAAACGCTATTTCAATGAATTAGCAAACTGTCTGCTCATACAAGAAGAAATTAATTGTGCATTGTAACGTTACACTAACACACGAAAATAAGTAGTGCTTGTTGATTGGTTAAAATAAACTTGCTTGTAAACACTATCCGGTAACATACCATTGTAAATTAATTCCATAATGTTTGTGATGTTACTCTGAGTATTTATCCACACCGGGCAAGCTTGAAAAATATGCCTGGCCACGGTGGGAATCGAACCTACGACCTTTGGAATCGATTCCCACCGTGGTCACCAAAAAAATAATTCCATAATGTTTGATTCCTATAATATTATTGGTAACATGGCAGCACTATGAAAATTGTCTTTTTCATTAAAAATCATTCAAGATGTGTTGTATATGAGGGGTGGAATGGGACAAAAATATAAATTGGTGAAGACAGATGTTTTCGGGCAATGTCTCATGTTTTCGGGCCGTATGTTTTCGGTTCACATGTTTTCGGGCAATGTCTCATGTCATCGACATCGGACCGTATGTTTTCGGTTCACATGTTTTTGGGCAATGTCTCATGTCATCGACATCAGGCCGTATGTTTTCGGTTCACATGTTTTCGGGCAATGTCTCATGTCATCGACATCGGGCCATATGTTTTCGGTTCACATGTTTTTGGGCAATGTCTCATGTCATCGACATCGGGCCGTATGTTTTCGGTTCACATGTTTTCGGGCAATGTCTCATGTCATCGACATCCGGCCGTATGTTTTCGGTTCGCATGTTTTCGGGCAATGTCTCATGTTTTCGGGCAATGTAAATGCTACATCCGGGTTACCATCACTTTGGCGCTTTTTTTGTCACATGGGTTTTAAACTTTTCTTTAACAATAATCATGCAAACTGCAAAGTGTTTCACTGTTTTTATGGTTGATTTATAGTGCTTTCCAGTTCCAGGGGTTTTATTTTTTTCAAGGGCCAAATGTAAATATGGCTAAAGTATTATAGTTCTGTTTTAAGTACATGGAGATTCATAACGTCGAACAAGTACGTATACAATGGCATATTGCATTTTTTATCCGTACACCCCCTGTTGAGGACACACGGCATAAATTCTCCTACCCCCCGGATTTCCAAGTAATTTTTTGTCAGAAGCCCTCGAAAAATGTGGTTTGTAGAAGGGGGTGCCTGGAATTCCAATTGTGTTTAATCAATGACCCTTGGAAATTCATTTTTTTTCCGCATGACTCCGGAATTCCACTGTCAATAAGTTGATCTCCCCTGGAATTTCCAGTTCCGGGATCATTATTTTATCCCTTTTCCCGGAATTTCCATGTAAATCTTATTATTTTGACCCCCACCCACTGGAATTCCAGGGTTATTTCGACCCCCACCCACTGGAATTCCAGGTTGGTTTGACCCCACCCACTGGAATTCCAGGGTTAAATATAAAAGGCATCCCGTGGATTTCCAAGGTCCTCAACAGGGAGTGTACGGATAAAAAATGCAATATGCCATTGTATACATAGACGGATTTTGTGGGGGGGGGGTGCAGGGGGTGCTACCCCCCCCCCA